CCCCAAAACCCCAAAACCCCAAAACCCCAAAACCCCTTTTTCTTATTTCCAAGTTGAACAAAGGTGTTGAGACATGCGAGGACTCGAAGAAATATTAAGCTTAGCAAGAATTAGCAGTTAAAAGTAATTTCTACATCTATCCATTCTGGGATAGACACCTGTAGGACTGTTTCCACAAATTCGTCCTCATCTGTGATCTTCTTGCTGGTGTTTCTGAGGATCTGCATTATTTCATCAAATTCACTTTCGATTAGGTCTTCCTGAAGAGTTACGAGCAGAGCTATTGATGTTTTGTAGAGAATCTGAACTCCATCAATAAGCAATAAATCCCATATCCTTCAAGTAATGTCCATGTTAAGTGCTTTAGCGAATAGTGACATGAACCATTGGTATAAGTAAAGACTTGGTTGTATTCCTTCATCTTCAAAATGAAAACACAAGTCTTGGCAATTATATCCAAAGATTTGCTTGAAGATCACAATTCTCTGTTTCATATACACATCATCAAAAGAGAAAAATGGGAGGAGGTTGGCTTTCATCACAATATTATGGAAAAGTAAGAATGCTTCATATTCATTAGAAGAAAGCAAGCATATAATTCCCAAAATATAGCTCATCCCTTGTACATATCCAATGTCAGGCCTATACATAGCATACGCAGTGAGAACCTTGTTCATTGTTTTCGAGAAAACCTCACTCTTGAAGACATGTTCCTTACTAAAAGTCCGAGGAATATCTCCGTTAATAGTCTTTAACGAATGCTCCTTTGTCAGCCCTGCCTCTGCAGGGGGAAGTTCTTTCATAGCTACATCAAGTTTAAATAGAAAGATCTGCTCTTTGCCTGATCAGAGAGGTTAATTTCTCAGACATCTTATCTAGCTGAGGCTTAGGGTCTGATTCGGGCACGATGTTCTCTGCATCTTTAGAGTTCTCAATTAGCTGGTTAAGCTCCTCTATCTTTTCTTTAGTTACCTCTATGTCTTTATTTAGATTGATGAGATCATTTTTGATCCCTTCTACTGTTTCTTCAGTGACTTTAGGCTTCTCAGGGTCCTCTTGATCGCTAGACTGATTGGGTATATCAGAATTATTGATCAACTCTTGCCTCTCAAGGGACTCTTTCAGTCTCATACCTCTTTTCCACAGAATTTCGAAGAATTTAGGAGTTATGAAGCTTGGATTCCCTGTTACTCTTGCCCATACCTTTGCTCTGATTTTCTCTGGAACACCTTGGATCCAGAACTTTCTGAATTCCTCTGCATCACTTCCTGATTTTGTGATGTGTTCTCCCTAAAAATTAACCTATGTGCGCCCTTAAGCTTACCTTTAAAGAGTTGTTGGATGGTCCATGATTCATATTTCTAATAATATTATCGAAATTTGGAAGACTTTGTTCAAAAACTTTCTCCCAAATGACTAGTTTATCATCTCTTTCCCTCCTAATTTGATCCTTGAGCTAAACAATTAAGAGGAGTTATCTACCGATCCACCTGTATTTTTAGAAGCATTCTTTTGCTCTTCGACTTTATTTTAAACTTTCAATGTATTTCTTCTTGGTCTGATAGACTAACTCTCTATGACGCTTTTCTTCTTCAAAGCTTTTCGGAATGCCTTCAGGATGGTACGCTATCTTCCGTCTCTGATCAGCCTTGTTCAATGATAGATTTATAAAGTCAAGAGTATTCTCGTTATTTATAGAATCATCCTTAGATGGAGAAGGTCTTGGGGAAGCTGACTTAGCTGCCTTTCTAAGAAAATCCCCCGATAGCATTTTCCCTATCTTAGAAGTAGCTGTTAATAAATGTCAATCATAGAACCCGGTGTAGATAAACTTGTGATTTTCAACTTCTTTCCACTTCTTTCTTTCAATTGGCTCATATTCACAAACTTCTTCTTTAGAGTCAAGTTTTCCCCAAACGAAGAGTTTATCATCCTCTATAAGTCTGCAACCACTGCTTTCATTTGAAGCGAATATTTCATTCACTCTCTCTAAGTTTGGAACTTTCCTTGAAGTAGATTCTTTCTCAACGTACATTGATCTTCCAAGTTGGCCATGAGAGTTAGAGCCCCAGGAGTAAACTCAGTCGTCTTCCAAGAGAACAACACAGTGATTTGACCCTGTTTGAATATCTTTTATATTACTGCTGATAGTCACATCGGTAATGGTTGGAGTTAATCTTATTGATCAAATTTATATACTTACCTGTCTTTTCAATCTCCAGTGGCAAGACAGCCATGTGCTCCTCTTCCCCAAGAAAATAGGATATCCTTATCTGGCTCTGAAAATGCAAAGAGGTTCACGATATCTCATTTTGAATTTTGAAGCAAGAGCTTAAAATCTTTAGCTCTTGCCACTGCGAATGAGGCGTGATCTGTGCATGCAATTTTTGAAACTCTTCAATTACTCAAATTTAGGATTAAATTAGGCTCACTTTGATCATGATCATTATCATTCCCAAGTTGGCCAAACTCACCGCTTCCATATGAATAGACATAGCCTGACCTGGTTACTATCAATCAATGATCTTGACCACATGCAATTTGGTTGACAGAAATGCAAAAACCTGGCTTAATAGGTGATCATTCGAAGGTATCAAGTGAGACTTGTAATAACTCGTTATTCTCAATGTAAATAATAACTTTATCACCCCAACATTTAAAGTTTCGCACTTTTTGATCGATAACCTTTTTGATCTGAATTTCACTGCTTATAATATCTTTGAAATCCCATAAAGTCTGGGAATGATCTAATATCAAAATATTTTCATCATTAGTGTCAACATCGATCAGAGGAAATGACAATGTTGAAGGGATACTTAGGTTAGACATATCTTTATAGTTGTAAGGGATAAACCAAAGTTGGTCTCTGGAACCTCCTGAATCCCTTATGAATTTATTTAGAAGTCAGCTCAGGAATCTATAAGCGAGGATGATTTAAGCAGAGAAATACCTTTGATTTTAAGTCTTCATTTCCTTCCTCTACAGAACTTTCATTTAAGTTTTCATTATTTGATTCCATTTTTGATAGACTAAGTCTTTTCTCTATTTCTTTGTGTTCTTCATTTCCTATAGGAATTGTCTAGAGGGTTCAGCCTATTGATTCTTCGTAAACAAGGATGAGCTGGATTAAAATTTTATTGATGAAATCAGTCTAAAATCTACTTGTAAAGAGCAGCTCTAATGATTCATACCTTCGCTGCTCATTTTTTTGAATTCAAAAATTATATATTAAGATGGGGTTTTGGGGTTTTGGGGTTTTGGGGTTTTGGGG